CACATGATTTTGGTACACTCCCTTCCTCCTTTCCTCCCTCCCTCTCTCTGTGTGTTTGTGGTTACGTATGAGCTACTGTGACAGAGCTTGCTAGTTCTTTGCACAGGCAGGATGGATCATGGATTAAATCTATTGTAATATACATGCATGAAATAAAATATGAAGCTGTGTAAAGGTTTTGTATACAGATGATAATTAAGTGATAATGCCCGAGAAGCTGGTGTTTGGAGGATATACAGTATTGGCACGGGTGTTGTTAGGCCCTAGACCATTGGTTCGGTTGCCAGGGACGCGACCCAGTCGTTCAGTCTTTTTGTTCTGTATCTATGGACGCGACCCAGTCATTAATTCTAAATGTTCCATTGCCATACTGGCTGGCAACGGTCTTATCCCTTGCCTGCTAGCTACCCAACTACGGCTAACTTACAGTCACGTCAAAAAGAGCAGCCAGAATAACCTCCCCAGTGGCGCAGTGGTCTAAGGCTGTGCCACTAGAGCTCCTGGTTCGAATCCAGGCTCTGTCGTAGCCGGCCGCGACCGGGAGACCCATGGAGCGGCGCACAATTGGCCTAGCGTCGTCCAGGGTAGGGTAGGGGAGGGAATGGCCGGCAGGGATGTAGCTCAGTTGGTAGAGCATGGCGTTTGCAACGCCAGGGTTGTGGGTTCGATTCCCATGGGGGACCAGTATGAAAAATAAAATAAATAATGTATGCACTCACTAACTGTAAGTCGCTCTGGATAAGAGCGTCTGCTAAATGATGTAAATGATAACAGCAAAGTAGCTGCATTTTAACGATGAGCTAATGAGGCTTTCGCCTGGCTTAGAAAATGTGCTCACTCGTCAGGACAATGTTGCTCAGAGGAGCTAACCAATCACTTCAAACGGAAGCTGGAAAGACTGCAAACTAGCTGCACTTCGTTTCGTTTTACCTTTTTTCAATTGACATTTTCTTTGTATATATCCATAAAAATAATGCCAGCTGATTTATGCTTTCGACTGGCTGAGAAATGCTGCCGGTCTGTCTGTCTCGTCCCTACTCCTGACACGTTCATTACTATGGGACAGCTGGAGATCGAATTTGACTATTGAAACAATGTTGCAAATGTCGGAGAGACAGACAACAAGGTTTATATTTGTCTCTCACTGTTCAAATAAACCAACCATTAAAATTATAGACTGATCATGTCTTTGTCAGTGGGCAAACGTACAAAATCAGCAGGGGATCAAATACTTTTTGCCCTCACTGTATCCTCCTTGCTGTGTCATGGGTATATTGGAGATGCCCATCCAAAACTGCTTACACTGGTTTCCATACCAATTTACTAATGCTGAGTGGTTCCTTATTTTGATATCTTCCCATGCAGAATAAAGGCTACAAGTTGAAACAAAACCTGTGGGAGGCTTGTCCTCAAGGACAAACTGAATGCATCTCCCTCTCAAAGATAGTGGTGGAGTTTGGATTAACAAAGTACAGTACAGGAGAAAATGACAAGTTAGGGACTGTCAGAGAGGAATGTTCCTGACATGAATCAGATAGGCCAGATTAACATTTAGAAACTAGAACCAACTTATTGAGAAGCAGCTGAACATGCATGGAGCTGGAAGCCATATAATAAACTCACATGACCAGGTGTCACGCCCTGACTCAGGGGACGTTTATTTGTTGAGTCAGGGTGTGTTTATTTCGTGTTGTGTTTATTTCTATGGTGAAAATCTAGTATGTCTATTTCTATGTTGGCCGGTGTGGTTCCCAATCAGAGGCAGCTGTTGCTCGTTGTCTCTGATTGGGGACCATACTTAGGCAGCCTTTTGGCACTAGTGGGTTGTGGGATCTTGTTCCGTGTTAAGGTATGTTGTGTTGTGCTGCCTTGGACTTCACGTATCGTTTGTTTATTGTTTTGTCGTTGTGTTTATTCGTTAATAAACATGTATGCATATCACGCTGCGCCTTGGTCCGTCCCGTTCGTCAACGATCGTGACAGAAGATCCCACCAAAATAGGACCAAGCAGCTTGTCCAGAAGCAGACAGCCTGGACCTGGGAAGAGATCCTGGACGGTAAGGGATCCTGGACTTGGGAGGAGATTCAGGCCGGGATGGATCGCCGTCCTTGGGAGGAGACAGTGGAGGCGCGATATAGAGAGGAGCAGCGGCAACGCGGAAGGCGCCGGCCGAGAAAGAAGCCCGAGAGACAGCCCCAAGAAAATTTGGGGGGGGGGGGGGGGCTAAAAGGGTGGTTGGCGGAGCCTAGAGGTAGGGCAGAGCCAACTCCCAGTACTCACGCGAGGAGGAGTGTGACTGGGGAGGCTCCGTGTTATGCGGAGCTATGTACTGTGTCGCCAGTGTTCCGGCACAGTCCTGTACGTCCTGTGCTAGCACCACGCACGTGTCGTGCGAAGATGGGCATTCAGCCAGGACGGGGTGTGCCGGCTCAACGCTCCTGGTCTCCAGTACGCCTCCTCGGTCCAGCATATCCTGCGCCTGTTCTATGAGCTGTATCGCCAGTGCGCGTGCACAGCCCAGTGCGTCCTGTGCCAGCGCCCCGCAAATGTAGTGCGAAAGTGGGCAGCCAGCCAGGACGGGTTGTGCCAGCTCTCCGCTCCAGATCTCCAGTCCGCCTTCGCAATCCGGTCCGGCCCGTTCCTGCTCCTCGCACCAAGCCAGTGGTGCGCGTCGCCAGTCCGGTCCGGCCTGTTCCTGTCCCTCGCACCAAGCCAGTGGTGCGCGTCGCCAGCCCGGCCCGGCCGGTTCCTGCCCCTCGCACCAAGCCAGTGGTGCGCGTCGCCAGCCCGGTCCGGCCTGTTCCTGTCCCTCGCACCAAGGCAGTGGTGCGCGTCGCCAGCCCGGCCCGGCCTGTTCCTGCTCCCCGCACCAGGCCAGTGGTGCGCGTCGCCAGTCCGGTACGGCCCGTTCCTGCTCCCCGCACCAAGCTAGTTGTGCGCGTCGTCAGCCCGGTACAGCCCGTTCCTGCTCCCCGCACCAAGCCTGTGGTGCGCGTCGTCAGCCCGGTCCGGCCCGTTCCTGCTCCCCGCACCAAGCCAGTGGTACGTGTGTCCAGTCCGGCACGGCCCGTGCCTGTTCCACCGGGATCCAGTCCAGCTCCGGTCAGCGGCTCCACTCCGGAGCCAGAGCAATCCGCTCCACCGGGATCCGGTCCAACTCCGGTCAGCGGCTCCACTCCGGAGCCAGAGCAGTTCGATCCACTGTCATCGGGTCCAGCTCCAGTCAGCGGTTCCAGTCCAGACCCAGACGTCAGCCCCTCTCCAGGTTCGGGGTCTCCCACACCAGGGTCCAGACAGGGCTTGGTACGTCATGGGAGGAAGGAGAGGGGAAGCAGCGCGCCGAGGTCCAGACCTGACCAGGGGCGCAACAGGGAGGCGGAGAATACAGACTTTTTCCACATTTTGTAATGTCACAGACTAATTCTAAAACGGATTAAATTACAAATGTTCCTCATCAATCAGCACACAATACCCCATAATGACAAAATTAAAACTGTTTTTTATAAATACCTTATAAACATAACTATTCAGACCTTTTGCTATGAGACTCGAAATTGATCTCAGGTGCATCCTGTTTCTTTTGATTATCTTTGAGCTGTTTCTACAACTTGATTGGAGTCCACCTGTAGTAAATTAAATTGGTTGGACATGATTTGGAAAGGCACACAACTGTCTATATAAGGTCCCACAGTTGACAGTGCATGTCAGAGCAAAAACCAAGCTTGAGGTCAAAGGAATTGTCCATAGAGCTCTGAGACAGGATTGTGTCGAGGCACAGATCTGGGGAAGGGTACCAAAACATTTCTGCAGCATTGAAGGTCCCCAAGAACACAGTGGCCTCCATCATTCTTAAATGGAAGAAGTTTGGAACCACCAAGACTCTTCCTAGTGCTGGCCGCCTGGCCAAACTGAGCAATAGGGAGGTGACCAAGAACCCGATGGTCACTCTGACAGAGCTCCAGAGTTCCTCTGTGGAGATGGGAGAACCATCCAGAAGGACAACCATCTCTGCAGCACTCCACCAATCAGACCTTTATGGTTGAGTGGCCAGACGGAAGCCAATCCTCAGTAAAAGGCACATGACATGATAGACTAGCTCAAATTCAGCACAGTTCTTTCAGCTCCTGTTATAGAATGTAGAACAAGAAGGTTCAAAATAATACAATGGCCAATAAAATGTATACCTTGTATTAAGTACACTGCAATGATTTGACAAACTACCTAAATAGGAAATGAGAACAATTATAATACATGGACTAACACAAAGCATATGGAGTAAGGCAGGTTTGGGTCTGTTCATCAGCCTAAGAGGAATTGTAACTTCTGTCTATGGCTGAAACTCACATGAGGAAGAATAGATCGTATGGGAATGGATAAATAAGACTCAGCAAAATACCAAAATAAAGCCTCTGTGGACAGCAGTTGTCAAAGCAGTTTGACCCGTTTCCGAGAAACGTTACAAACCTGTCATAAAAAAATGTGCATCGGTATTTAACAGTGGTTCATAGGCTTGAGTCTGAGAAAGTAATTCCTCTCTAATTTATGTATGGAAGTAGTTTACAACAGCTGGGACTAATCATGTGATTTACACACAATGCTGTGTTGTCACCTTCACCATTAAAAAACAACAATTGTATGCTCAGTTAAAAGCTCTGCCACTTTGAAGAATGGCAATAAGAGACTCCCTTCAAAACAAATCTGTTTCCAATAAAATGTTATTTTACAATAAAATGTTATTTGACAATTATTACATTGTAATTTACAATGTTACTATAACCTTGAATCAGGATGTTGCCTGTTGCGCATTGATGCGTTGGACACTGTCAGCTCCTCATGTCTTAGACAGCTAACTAATCAGGTCATACAGGCTCTTCTCCCCTCATCAAAACCTCTCTAAAAGTATGTCATGGCAGATATAAATATTATTAGATATTAAGTATAGCATAGTATACAATATATACACTATATAGTATAGTATACACACAACTCACAAAAGAAGTTGGTATTTCATTTCATTTATTTTGTAGAAAATAAACAGTGACACAAAAATATTTACAAATATTGAATACAAATATACACAAAATGACATCTTTTAGACCTTTCACCAAATGGACAGTTTGTTATGAATGATTATCATGCGGGAATATACTGCTGTATATTATATAGTGTGTAAATAACGGAACATTTTGTCACAGTAAAACAGAAAAATCTGTTCTTTGTTGTGCTGGCAATGGGCTAGGTGCCCTCATATCAACTATGGATCTTGTAAATGAGCTATTCATACTGAGAACAATACAGCTATGAGCACAACAATTTAACAAAGACTAGAAACACAGTAGAGAGTCCCAGACTTACTTCCTGTCAAAAATGCTACCTAAGGTTTTAGAGATCCTTCAACTGTCACAGAGCAGCAGACGCCAAATGGCAAAGATGGTGTAGCTTGAGGTCATGAGATAAAGAAGAAGTCGGAGTGAAGTCTTTTGGTTCTGTACAGGGTCTGAGAGAGTGCAGAGCGGGGGCTCAGAGTGGGCAGGGGATCTGTTGGAGATAACTGGTTGTGTTGTTGTTCAGTGTCCAGGTGTCGGCGCAAGAGAAGAAGTCTTCAGTATATGGTAGTCCTTGGAGTTCTGTGTACAGACGCAGCTCTATTTCCGTCCCTGTAAAACAAACAAAACAAAGCAGGTCAGGGATGCAAGAGAAACACAGCTGAAAGATGGTACAGATTTCTTCTTACGTTTTGCAATATTGACAGCAGCCTTGTTAGATGGTTTTGATGTAATAACACAAACTGAAGCTTAGGCTCTGGTGTAATCATTCACTTCTATCTCTGCCATCTGTTTACCTTACATGCATTATTCTGTTTCACACCTTATGCATATGAGAAGGAAATATTATTGATTGAAACACCTTCCTCAATCGTCTCAGTGTTTTACATATGACAGTTTTGTTTAACAAATCTGTTTCCAATGGCCTACGGAATCCAGAGTTTTCCTCCTCCTTTTCCTTTTGTAGTCTTTCATTTTGACTAACAAATGTTTTACAAAGACAATACATGCAGACAGGATTTAATCCTGCCGTCGAATACTACAGTATAACAAACAGCCTGATTCCATGTAGCATAATTTACCTGAGTTATCACTCCATTGGCTCTCTGAACTGTGATAAGACTCTGCGATGTTGAATGACTCTGCTGTGCTTACTTCACTGCTCAGGATCCCCTTGTCGTTTGCACTGCCTTGCTGCTGCAATTGCTCCCAATACTGTGCAATCTAAATGAACAAAACACAGGGGATGAACCTGGTTACATTTTTGCTTGATTTAGCTGTGTTAGCATTTTTAGTATTCAATAAAGAATATCTGGCAGACATGGTTATTCCTGATAATGAAAAAAGCACACTGAACTTGTAGCGGTAGTGTCAAACTTACCTCAGTAAGGGATTCGTTGTCTTCATATTCTGTAAAGTTGAAGAAGGAAAATTGACATGAGCATTGGTCAAACCTCAATTACATTTGCAGCTCACACTCAAACACAAAGAGTTTAATCAAACCCAAGCATCCAGCAAGGTTAATCTTACCTGTGGAGTGCTCTGGTGACACTTCGAAAGGCACGTGGTAGTCGTTGGTGCTGTCTGGGCCTATTTCCACAGAGATGGAAAAGTCTGGAGTATTAGTTTCGTATGTTGTAAAATCTTTACAGAAAAGACACAGAAAACCATAAGGACTACCATTCATTTGTACCCTCACGTTCATACACATCTCACACACAGTTTTGTGAATGAATTAGTGAATTCATAGTCTCTAGTCCTTTGTATCTTTTGTTGGGACAAAGTTTAAAGTAAATTCTGCAGCTTTTGTATATCAGAGTCTGGTAATCATTTATAGAGACATCAAGACATGATGCTGCTGTGATGTTCTCACCTAGGTTGTCTGTGCTGTCTACCATGCTTTCATGTTTAATTTTGTCCTCGTGCAGGTGTGTGTTGGTATTGCAGTCCTCGGGGCAACAGGTTTCACTGGAGTCCATTCCCTCTGTCTTGGTCTTTGACCCCTAGAAGAGACAACAGCAAAACTTGAAGTAAGATTATAATTTTCATCTCTGTTGACACTGGTCTGGATACAGCCAGCTAAATACACATGCACAGGTCTTTATATAGCAGAGGGAATACATAACTACAAGTGATGATAGGGATTCTAAAGTGGGTTGAAGGGATTCTAAAGTGGGTTGAAGGGATTCTAAAGTGGGTTGAAGGGATTCTAATGTGGGTTGCAGTTAAAAAGTAATATAACCTTACCTTGTTATTTTTATTGACATTGTTTGCTTTTGACCTCTTGTTATTTCGCTTCGAGCAGACGTCCAGCATTTTGTAGACGCGCACCGCTCCACACCCTCTGTTGATGCTTTTGTCTTTCACTTGCTCTATGTCAGGAAGGGAGTTCATTGCACAGCGGAAATTAGCCTTCCATGTCTTAGGGTCTGGTTCAGTCTTGCCTTGTATGAATTTCCCTGCATCAACAGACAAGTAATATCATTGTTATTACAATGCAGTTAGTATATTGAAAAACCTTAAGGTGCTGAAGTGCATATTGTGCAGAGCATATGATGCACCTTAAGGTGCTGAAGTGCATATTGTGCAGAGCATATGATGCATCTTGGTGAAAATACATTTTATTATGAGAGGGGCTCTAGTAGGTAGTCTAGGAATGTGTTATTTGCACACCTGTGTGCATGGCCCATTGCTGGAACAGACAGGCATCCTTGTTCAAGTCCCATCCATGACGTGCAGCATGCTTCCATGGGATGGAGAAAATCATCTTGGCCTGGACAAAAACCACAAAGCAATGGGTTTCAAATGAACGCCTCCTATCTCTCAACCCAGCATCTCCTCTACATGCCTAGTTTTGAGTAGTCCTTTTCATGGGTAATAGTGCTTAATATGTTTTGAGCTGTCAATGTCTGGACTGAGTTCTCTTCTTACAATGACAGTTTCTGCCACTGCAGTGTTTCAGGGAGTATTGCCTTTGTACATAAAAATGCATTAGATGAGTCTGATGAGTAGGAAAGTCTTACCTTGTCCACCCACACCAATCCACTGATGGAGTTGGACTCAAGCTTTTCCTCCAACCAAGGCCTCATTCTCATCCTAGACACAGGCATGGTTCCTGGGAGAGCAAGGAGAATAGAATAGATTAGCTTAGTTTTAGGCACATGGCATTTGGAATGTGAGGTAGATGTACAAGCATGTTACTCAGTCCCTCCCACTGCCATTCTCAGTTTTGGCATCCGATAGTGGGCGCTGGAGCTGCACGATAGTCTAGGATTAATGTGCATTCCCGTCAACACACTCCTGTCCCCCGTGGACCTGGAATGCGCATCAATCCTAGACAATAGTGCAGCTCTAGCGCCCACTATCGGATGCCTAGTCTAGTCATGACCAGGAAGTGTGATGTAGCTATGACCATTGCCAACGACAGTCAAATTACTGGACTATGCAAATCAGTGAAAGAGAGCAGTACTAGTATTTATATCATGTGCATTTAATAGGACTACATTGAACGTCTTTATAAGTCTTTCTCATGATCTTATTCAAGCAGATAAAGGGTTTGGTTATTTCTGGTGCATCCCAGGTTAAATGGAGCAGGTTCTTTACAAGTACTTAAAAATAACACGATAGACCAATAACAAGCATGCACACTCTCATGCACTGAACAAGCGCATGAACATTTAAACCAATGCATTACAGTGCCTAGATACGTTACAAACAGTGTTACACCTAGACCTACTAAAACGTGCAATGATTTATATTTTAACTAGAACTCTTAAAAAGTCATAATATCCGACTGCAATGTTATTAGCTACTTGCATTACATCGGCTAGGTCAATTCACCAACAGGTTGACCGCACCGCCGCAACCCTTTGCTTCTAGGCTTGTTCGTGTCAGTGTAATAATATCTGTCAAAATATGTGGACAGTGCCCCATGACAAGACGCACGCTGCTGCACACATGGAAAAACAAATGCGAGTCAATAGAAAAAAATGCCTATAGGCCTACTAAAAATACAAATTGTATTGTCTATAAATATGTACAAAGAGCACTATGAGCACAGTTTCTATGTAGCCTATTGCATGCAATAAGAAAACAAAATCACTTACAGCTGCAATATGATATCGCTTAATCCGATTGTTTAGAAATTGTGCCTAAAAGCAGGTATACTCTTTTGTAAAGATTGAGCGAGAAGTTGTTCCTCTGTTATTCCTTGTAATAGCCACTCCTTTCTTCGTTGACAGTGTGTACAGTCTGCTGATGGAAACATGGCTTTTATACAGAGAGGTTGGGATTTCCCCCCAATGTAGTACCATGAACACGGTTTTGGCAGCTGTCCGCGTCTGCGCTGAATGTCACCCCAAGGCATGCGCGCTCAAACTACAGGCAACCTGATTTCCGAGAAATCATGCCTTTGTGAGCGAAGCTATGGGATGAGTTAGAACGCTTGAATAAATGTATATGCATGCTGCTCGTAGCAGGAAGTATCATTTTACAATATCTAGGCTTTTAATGTCTTATTGTTTTCAGTGAAAATTAATAATTATGCATGACTATTGATAGTTTAATTTAACTTGTGTTTATAGAATATATAGAGATAATGTATAGCAAACAAAGCCTATTTTATCAGTTAAGTAATCATCCCACACGTATTCCTATCATTTAATTTAATGCAGCCGATTATCCTCAATAATGAGACAACATTAGAGAATTTGATTCCATTATTTAATTGCATAACTATGCCAAATGCAACCAGCGGGTGAGTGGCCTATGCATTTTCTGTTATTGATGCAATTATTTCCCGCGAAGCATCAATAGCCCAGGCATAGGCAAGCCCTTTAAAATAAAGTCGCGCTTTTCCGGGAAATGGTGTAGGTATCAAAAGCACCGACAGGGGACGTGTTGACTATTCAGTTGATTTTGCGCGTCACGGACTCCAGTCCAGACTTCATGTAAGTCACTGCAGACACGAGCACGTTTCTTGTTTACATTTTTTAAAAGCACTTCTACCAAGAGCCAACTGCTAAAAAGTTAAGCAAGTGTTATGTATTACTATTCAAGAATGACCCTTGTTCGAATGTTAACAGCATGAAACTGCCATGCACTTTATTATAAAGACTTGGAGTGATCTGCTTTATTCTCAATAGTCTCGTATTGCGTAAGTACAGAAAGCGTATTTAACGGTGTTCTGATTTACAGTGCAGCGGTTGATCCGCCAGGAAACCCCTCGTCAAGCAGGAACAAACACGTCACCCGTTTTTGCCATTAAATTACTGTCATGTTTGAGCCCGGAGCGCGCGGGGGAGGTGTGTATTACAATGTGTGGGTGTGTCCCAGTCCTATGAGGAAAAGCAGGGTATTTTCCTGTTGCGGAATTTTTGCTCCGTTTAAAAAGCCCAGGGTTTTCCCAATAAAAAGAAAAAGGATAGATCTCTCTTTTAATGGTGGTCAATATGATTTGTCCTTTATACAAATTATTTGGATTACCACCAACCCATCGTGTGTATATTTGCAGAGTCAAACTATTTGGTATATATAATCCAGGAGTCAGCCTAATAACCTGTAGGCCTATCACATGCAATGGTTATTTAACTAAGTAGCCTAGTACTTCAGTAATTTTTACATGTTGGCTAAATCCCAACCTGGATGCTTAGTGAGACATTTCTTGTATTTATATAGTGCTTTTCATTTTACTAGGTCTCAAATTGCAACTCACCACAAATCTGTCTGACTGAAGAGGAAATAATGACAGCAAACTTCTTCAGATATTTCATTACAACTCTTCTAAGGTCATTGGCATATAATGCATTAATAACATTTTAGGTTGATTCATTTAAAGGCCCTGTGAAGCGTCCAGTATTTCTATAGAGCTCGCCAGCTTGTAGTCCTTTTTACAAAACAAAAACTCACATTAATAATTGTCTGAATGTTAAACTGCTGAGGAAAAAGTAGCCTCCATGCCATGCTTTAGAGATCTGGAACTGAGAATAATACGTTTGCTCGTAATAAGAAGTCTGTAAACAAGAATAAACTCCCTCAAATGGGCATCTAAAGCTCCTCTGACAGAGGTAATACTACTATAGTGAGTACATATACTGTAGCACGGTGGTTTTCGAAGTGGGGGGTACATAATAACAAAAACAATGTAGGGGGTAGATCAGCTTTAAATATATTTTCCTTTTATATTTTCACCTAACCCTACCATCCCTCCCCTAATTGGAGTAAACTAATGGACAACAACACTTAGGCTTCTCCTTCCAGCTTATACATACTATATACATTTTACGGACACAGTATATTTTACAATAGTTATATTTTGTTTGTTTCTAGTCCCATCCTTCAGCTCCACTCAACCCCTCCCATCTATCTCTGAACAACATCCAGTTTTGTGCTGTGATGTTTCACAAAAGTTCTGAACCTTTCTATTCTCATAGATTCTAGCTCAGTTGGTAGAGTATGGCGCTTGCAACACCAGGGTTGTGGGTTCGATTCCCACGGGGGGCCAGTATGAAAAAAGTATGAAAAATGTATGCACTCACTAACTCTAAGTCACTCTGGATAAGAGTGTCTGCTAAATGACTAAAATGTAATGTAAATTAAAAATAATATTTTTGCTAAGAGTATTATTATATTATTGATCGATAGACTATGACTTTTTAAATCACCCAGCAGTGCTATTTGCAGAGGGGGACATAACTTGGCAGGAGGTCTGGGGGCCCTCCCATTTTGGGGGGCATCTAATGCACATTTCCTGCATTTCTACACAATCTAATATGACCCATGGTCCTTCTAGCCATCTCTATTTAGAACAACACAAAGTAAGCAAAAATGCCCACAGTCATCAAGCTAGGTAAGAGATTATTAAATATGTTTAAGTGATTGATAACACTGAACTAGATCCATGATAATTCAATAATCAATATTGTGCTGCACTTTTAACTAATAGCGTAACAAATGAACAACTCTTACAAATAATAATAATAATATGCCATTAGCAGACGCTTCTATCCAAAGCGACTTACAGTCATGTGTGCATACATTTTTGTATGGGTGGTCCCGGGGATCGAACCCACTACCCTGGCATTACAAGCGCCGTGCTCTACCAATTGAGCTACAGAGGACCACAACTGAACCTACCTTAACTGAACCTGGACTGCAAAGTCGCACTTGGTCCCAGAGATGTCCATGGAGCTGCTGATCTGCTGGACCTGCTGGGGCGTCAATGCAAAGGCATAACACGTCTCCTGAAACCGCTGACTGTTGTCCGAGGCCAGGCTGGTAAAGAACAAAGACAACTTTTGATTGTCTTTAAGACAGACCGCCCAGCCAACCAGAGTCGCCTACACACCCGACCCCCACCAGTCTAGTCAATAACTCAACTCTCTCCCAACACAACTTCCTTCCCATTTTTTTAATGTCTCAAGGGAAAGGTTTGGAAAACAAAAGTTGAATGAAAACCCACATACACCTACACATTAACACACAGAAACAGTACACCCTCCATATAATTCATATCATAGTTCTAATAGTACTGTAGTACTGCTCTTTTAACTTGCACACAATATAACTGGGTCACCCCGTCCTGCCCCTAGGGGTCCACCGCACTGTAGTGCCCCAACCCAACACACCCCACTCAGCTTTAGGATGTTAGTGAAATATTCATTATTGGTTTCAGGTGTGTTAGACCAAGGCCAGAGTGACACCAGTACCACAGACCCCCAGGGCCAGGACTGAGCAGCCCAGTAGCTAGGGATTGCCTAAATAGGTATCTCCCCTGACGTGGACATGTTTTCAAGACAGACTCCTTTTGTCGTACAGTATTCCATATAAGGCATCCAGATCTTATGAAAGTTGTACAGTATATACTTCAGCTTAACACAAATCTAGTGATACTGAACATAACTTTACATTTCTTCCATACATTGTGGGAGGATAACCAACCTTCCAATTAATGGTAATGCATGTATTAGCCACTATAAATGCTAGGTTACACAGTTTATTCTGATAACAGTCTCCAGTATCAACATTTCCAAGCAAACATAAACAGGGAGAAGGGAGAATCTGTAGACATACTGAGATAAAACAACATACACTTTGCCAGAATTCAGCCAGCCTTCACAAGACCATAACATATGCAAATCCCCTTTTGTGCTTTACACCTCCAGCAGAATAATAACATTTCTGAGTGCATGATATTCAGTTTCACTGGTATATAGTACATTCTATGGATGGTCTTAAACTGCAGTCATTTATGTCTGAGATTATATGGACATGACTGGGCATTCGAACATACAGTGGAGAAAAAAAGTATTTAGTCAGCCACCAATTGTGCAAGTTCTCCCACTTAAAAAGATGAGAGAGGCCTGTAATTTTCATCATAGGTACACGTCAACTATGACAGACAAAATGAGAAAAAAAAAATCCAGAAAATCACATTGTATGATTTGTAATGAATTTATTTGCAAATTATGGTGGAAAATAAGTATTTGGTCAATAACAAAAGTTTCTCAATACTTTGTTATATACCCTTTGTTGGCAATGACACAGGTCAAACATTTTCTGTAAGTCTTCACAAGGTTTTCACACACTGTTGCTGGTATTTTGGCCCATTCCTCCATGCAGATCTCCTCTAGAGCAGTGATGTTTTGGGGCTGTCACTGGGCAACACGGACTTTCAACTCCCTCCAAAGATTTTCTATGGGGTTGAGATCTGGAGACTGGCTAGGCCACTCCAGGACCTTGAAATGCTTCTTACGAAGCCACTCCTTCGTTGCCCGGGCGGTGTGTTTGGGATCATTGTCATGCTGAAAGACCCAGCCACGTTTCATCTTCAATGCCCTTGCTGATGGAAGGAGGTTTTCACTCAAAATCTCACGATACATGGCCCCATTCATTCTTTCCTTTACACGGATCAGTTGTCCTGGTCCCTTTGCAGAAAAACAGCCCCAAAGCATGATGTTTCCACCCCCATGCTTCACAGTAGGTATGGTGTTCTTTGGATGCAACTCAGCATTCTTTGTCCTCCAAACACGACGAGTTGAGTTTTTACCAAAAAGTTCTATTTTGGTTTCATCTGACCATATGACATTCTCCCAATCCTCTTCTGGATCATCCAAATGCACTCTAGCAAACTTCAGACGGGCCTGGACATGTACTGGCTTAAGCAGGGGGACACGTCTTCCACTGCAGGATTTGAGTCCCTGGCGGCGTAGTGTGTTACTGATGGTAGGCTTTGTTACTTTGGTCCCAGCTCTCTGCAGGTCATTCACTAGGTCCCCCCGTGTGGTTCTGG